AAAGACTCCCTGGCCTTTCTTGCCTTTTTTTCAACAACCCCATCCCCATCCCACAAAAGATATCATTGAGATCTTTTCATCTTCTTTAAAGTAAATACTATTAAAAAAACCTAAATGATATTCATGGAATCACTTTGGCATGTTGTTGTAGGAAAAGGACAACGTATACAACTGGCGAATGTTTCTAGGGCCGAGCTGCACAAGAATTGTTTCCTGACGGTGACCCACCCTGGTCATTCAGATGACGAGGAGAAGGGACTGTGCCTTGACTCCAAAGAGCCTTCATGTGGGAGACAATCTACCAGCATTGCATGGTTATCATTTAACCTTCCCAAGAGCAGAGATCTGGAATTTGTCCTTGAACAGTCTCTTCCAGATGACGTCCCTAACCAGTGTTGAAGGCAGTTAGAGTGACAAAATAAATAAGAGCCTGTCTTGTCTTGCAAATGCAACGGGTTATTCAAAGACTATGGTTAGAGAGCTATCAGTTAGAGAAGTTTTCTGAGCCCTGTTTGAGGGCCCACCCACGTCATAAGCTGTCCACCTCTCTTTAAGGGAATGGCTCCTTGCCATGGCAACTCACTCCAGTCCCAGTCTACCCACTAGGAATGTGCTCGATACTCCAAGTTGCCTCAGCAACTTTAGGGCACAGACTGCTGCTACAAATGTCTCCCTGGTCCTTTGCTTCTGCAGCTGGTTTCATACCTTCACTTTAGCTTGTCTCTGGGTGAATCTGGCCGCCGGCTTCAGTTTTTCCATCCGTTCCAGCTTCAGTGCAAAAGCCATGGGATTTCAGCAATGGATACAATCACAGTACTTACTATTCGCAGGTAACAAAGCTCTGTATAAGCACTCCTCTTGCTTAATTTCTGGAAATAAGCCATTGGCAGCCCTCGTTCTGCTCATTTTTCTGCAACAGAAATGAATTTTTGTCTCTCATAGGTTTGTGTTTAAAAATGGAAAGCCAGTCGAAGACAGAGAGTTGGGTTATAGGGTTCCATATACTGTTATTCTTCTCAGACTGGATGCTTAAATTCTAATTACTTATTGATTTATCGATGTGATTTTTTACTAAAAGCAAAACAAAAATGGTGTAATATGCATGAAAAGTAAGTGATTAGCTTTCTGTGTAAGTGCATATGCGAGAGAGTTTCATGCCAATGATGCCTTATATTTTACAAGGATATGTTTCCAATAAGTAAATCTAGTAGCTGCGAGCCCTTTAAAACTTTTCAAAGTGCAGAACACAGTGACTGTCGTCTCTAATACTGCCCGCGTTCTGAGAGTGAGCACAGTTATCTGACATGGCAGGGCTCGGTCACACTAGAGATGTGCAATAGCTACACGAGAGATATTTTGATATTTCTGCAGCTGTTTACCCACAGGCAGTCAGTTCTTTAAATCTCCAGGTCTTTTTTATAACTCTGTCACTCTGTCCGTAACCAAAGTCCCTTGCTCAGAAAGTCATCTTCCTGAGCCCAGTCCTATTCTAATAGCACCTTTTGTTTTTATTTTTGTTTCCACTTTTAACATAAAAAGTATTATATGCCCTGGCCAGGTGGTTCACATAGTTGGAGCATCATCCCATGCACCAAAAGGTCAGGGGTTCCATCCCCAGTCTGAGCACATACCGAGGTGTGGATTCAGTCTCTGATCGGGGCCTGTACGGGAGGCACCTGATCAACATTTCTCTCTCAACACCAATGTTTGCCTCTGTCTCTCTCTCCTGTCTCTTCTCTCCCTAAAATCAAAAAGCATATCCTCAGGTGAGGATTTAAAAAAATAAAAAATAAAATAAAAAGTATTACATGCGGAGAGTGGCTGTAGCGGACACTGTTGGCTGGCCCACCTAAACCCTGCTGTCTTCCTCTTCATTGCTGGAGTGCTGATTTTGTTCACATGACCACTCTCAGAAACAAAATCACTTAGGCAACAGATCTCAAGGAGTCTAAAGACCACCATGGTCATCTCATACCCCTTAAAAAGGTGGCTGGCTTAGAGGCAGGCACATGACCCTATTCAGGCCAGTAAGATGAGAAATTATTGGGGTACTTAAGGGAAATCTTCCCTTGCTGCTAACAGGGGGCACAGGGAAGAGACAGTGCCTTGTCTTCCCCTGGTCACTGACATGCCTGCCTGTGACGTCTGCAGCTGCCGATGAAGCAAAACCCACAAAGGAAGACAGGGCAACAGTGAAGTGGGGTCAGAGCCCTGACGTACCCTGCCTGGAGCCCTGCCTGCCCATAGCCAGTCTGTGCCATGAGATAATAAATCTCCCCAAATTCAAGCTGGGCGCATCCAGGTTTTCTACTGCTTGCTGCCAATGGGTTTTGACCTAATAGCCAAAATAATAAATCAACCCATGCCCTGTCCTTTGCTCGGAGGGAGCTTCTGCCCTTGTTGAGCTGATGATTTTGAAGACTAGCCAAGGTGCCTACTCTTCACAGTGGAATGAACCACTCGCTCATCCAAATTCCCATGAAACCTTGTGTACACACCCTGTTGTTTATCCTGTTTACTGGGGCTTCTTTGTGGATTTGTCTTCTCACACTCACATTGGAAGTTCCCCTACGGAAGAGCCGGATCTGTACCCAAAATTGCATCAGGGGCACCATTCAATAAAATGTTTACCAGCAAGAAGATGCATTCTTGTGAACATTGGTTTTACTGGAAAATAGGCAGCCAGGGTTACAGACAATAACGGTAGCACGGATATTTACGGAGGCCATGAATTCAAAAAAGGGGCCGTGAAATCCAACTGTCCATATGTTCACACAGAGAAAGTCCCATGGATGGCAAATATAAAGGGCATGTGGCTGAAGACTCAGTGTGGGGTGGGAGGGTGAAGCCTTGACTTAGGTGGCTGCAGGAAAAGGACGGGGGAACCAAGAGAGCAGGTCCTTCCTGAGGGCAGGCAAAAGGGGCTGTGTGTCTTAGAAGACTCTGGCCCTTTCTGGAAAAACTGGAGTCTGGCTGTCCGGCTGCTGGAAATAAAGGCCATTGTCATCTGTCTCTACTGCTATCACTTAGTCCTTTAGAATAGTAATTCACCTCTCCTTCCAAGCAACCACATGGGTCTCACAAAGTGGGCCCAGCTCTGTTTTGCATTCTGCTCCTTGACTGATAAACCATGAGTTTATTCTCACCAAGGTCTGCCTCTGCTGCTGCTTTGATTGCGCTGTTGATCTGTTTGGTGAAGATGTCTGGAGTAAGAGCCACACATTTTTGGGTTGTGGTTCTGACGTGGGCGCCCCATGCTCAAAACCTTCTGCCTTCTCCCACGTGCAGTCAGTTCCCATTGACGATGCCTTTACGACGTCTTTCCCATTTGTACTTGGCAGTTTCCTCTGTACTTGAATGATCCACAGGAACTCAGATGCAACAGGTTCAAAACTAAAATCATCTTTCCCATCTTCAGGTTTAGAATTACTTTCCAAAGTCAAAAATGTGGGAAAGAGCTCTTATTTCTTTCTCCCTTTCTCTATCATTTATTAGCTCTTTGTTAATCTTCATTAGTATAGCCACAAGGAATTATTTTATTTATATTTATATAAATATAAAACATAAATATATAAATATATAGGTATAGAGACAGATAGATGATAGATAGATAGATGGATAGATAGATAGATAATAGATAGATGGAATAATTTAGTTCAGAGTTCAAGTTGGGACAGAAATACCCAAATACTGTGATCAGAAGAATTTCATTCTGCCTTTTGGCCCATATCAGTATCCGATTAATGTCAAATCACACATTTTGCCCAGAAAGGCAGCAAGCAAGTAAGAGCATGAGCTTTGGAATGAAAAGGGCTGGGTGTGAATCCCTGCCTTAGCCCTTGCTGTGTAATCTTGAACTAAAGAAATGGTCAGCGTTTAGTGGGTTCTGTATTGAGCACCGGGCTCCCTGGTGAGCACCCGCTTCACCAAGGGAGGTGGGGACTGTCGTTCGCCCCTATTACAGGTGAAAATCCTGAGGCTGCTCATGGTTTGTCCTAGGTCACACAGTTAAGTAATAGACCCAAGATTCAGTTCTGCCACATGCCAAAGCTGGTGTTTATCACCTGGATTCTAAGTTTTTATCTGTACAAGGAGTCCAGTGCTTACTTTCTAGGGGTAGGTAATATAAAGAGTAAATTACCCAATAGAGGCAAGCCACCTCCCTCACTGTCTGACACTAACGCCTCAAATAAACGTGAAGGACCCATTTGCTCACTGCCTGGTTGCGTGCTGCTCATTCCCAGAATTGGTTTTCACGTGGATTCCTCTCCCAGAGCTGTGTTTGTATATATTTTTGGAAGTTTCCGATTTTCAGTTTCAGTGTTCTTTTCCATTTATGTGCTTGATTTACTTTAGTTACCAGATAATAGGCCAGCCCCTTCCTGCCAAGTTTCTCAGCTCCTCCAAGACCCAGGTCATTCCTTTTTACACCTAGTCATCAGCTAGTGCCTAGACCAGCGTGGGGATTTTCCTAATATCTGATGAACAATTCAATGAATTTTTTTACATCATTTACATGTTTATGTACCTCTTCTATAAGGTAGAACCCTTTAAGCATAGCGTTCTGTACCTGGTAGGAAAGCAGTGGGTATATTTAAAGCCTGTTGCTTTGTTGCCTCTTTGACTCAACAATGAAGGAGGCGCCTGCGTTCTGAGCTAACACTTCGACCGGTGCGCCACGCCCTGCCCCGCCAGGTACGCCCAGTCCCTCCCAGACCGGACCCCTTCAGCAGCTCTTTCCAGAAGGCCACCATTGGCTGCAGCCCCCACCAAGCATTTGGACATGTGACAGGGTTGTGAACAGCCGTGTGTCGCTGAGAGCAAAGAGACGACTGAGGAGCGTTCTCCCGCATTGTGGGCGTAGGAGGCCGAGAGTCCTCACACCGAACGTCAAGAAAAGGGTTTTCAGGAGACTCCGACGTGCGCGTCCGCCCCTTGATCGCGAGACCCCTCAGGCCAGCAGCTGGAGGCCTCACCTGGGCGACCAGGTGGAGCCGGTCATGGCGCAGCTGGGTGGGCCGAGGCGGTGCTGGGCGCCTCTGGCCCTGCTGGCTTCGCTGCTCCTCTTTCAGGCGGAGGCAGCAGACCCAGAAGGTGAGGTGCGCGACTTTTGCCGAGTTCCGAAGGCAGTGGGAGGATGCCAGGCTTCCGTCCGCAGGTGGTGGTACAACGCCACCGGCGGATCCTGCCAGCAGTTTGTGTATGGAGGCTGTGGCGGGAACGACAATAACTACCTGACTAAAGAGAAGTGTCTTGAGAAATGTGCTAATGTCACAGAAAATGCCACCGATGATCTGGCAAGCAGGAATGGAGCAGATTCCTCTGCCTCAAGTGTGCCCAGGAGGCAGGATTTTGAGGACCTCCCCAGCGATATTTTCAGCTACGAAGAATACTGCATGGCCCAGGCGGTTACCGGGCCTTGCCAGGCATCTTTCCCACGCTGGTACTTCGATGCCGAGAAGAACACCTGTGATAACTTTATCTATGGAGGGTGCTGGGGCAATAAAAACAACTACCTCTCCAAGGAGGCGTGCCTGAGCCGCTGCTCCGCCGCCGCGCAGTGGTACCCCGCCCTGCCCTGCGGCACGAGGGCGGTCCTGGAGGGGCTGTTCCTGACGGTCCTCGTCCTCCTGCTGGGAGCCTCCGTGGTCTACCTGATCGTCGTGGCGCGCAGGAACCGGGAGAGCTGCCCCCTTGCCTGGAGCTCCCGCGGCGCTAGGGAGGCCCTGTCGAAGAAGAAGGGAACCTGGGGAAGGGGAGGGGAGGCAACTGTAGAATGCCAGTGTTCTGTTTAAAATAGACGGATTGATTTGCGTTTTTGCGATCTTGAGGGCTTTTGATCTGCTTGTTACTGTAGAAGTAAGGAGGGCTGCTTCCCGTCCCCAGGGGCAGGTTGCCGGCAGGTTGCCCCGGGGAAGGGAGGGCTCTGTTCACCTTGGAACGGCCTGGCCTCAGGCCAGAGTCAGTTCCCCTTTGATTTCCTCCAGGTACACATTTCTTTGTTTATGTTAAAACCTTTTGCCCTCTTTCCTAGCACAAAAGTGATGTTTTCCTAGTTTCCTTTGTTTGTTTGATTTGTGGGGGAGGGGTTTGAAGTAAGCAGAAACAAAGTTTTTTTTTAAATTAAGATTCTTAAAGGAAGAGAGTAAAATGTACAAGTTTAATAAAAAGAGCTCCCCCTTTCAAAATTAAAAAAATAAATAAATAACAATGAATGAGTAATTAGCCAAGGACTGTGAATCCCTGACTTCATACATCGCTGTCTCCCGACAACAAACATTTTTTGAGCGCCTGCTTTGTGCCAGGCACTGTGTTGGGCACAAATGTTAATAAAACAAGATCTCTGCCTTTAGGAAGCATACAATTAGTAGGGGAGAAAAAAAACAAGGCATGAAAACAAGACAACTTTATTATTCATAGATGTCTAGGAAGAGGACCGCCACAGTGGTGGTGGCGGGGAAGGAGGGATCCGAGCTTCGACGGGGGAAGTGGACAAGGGACAGGCAGGAGCAGGGCCACAAGAAGGTGCCAGAGAGCTCATCCATAGGCTCGCTTCAGCACAATTGTGTATTTTCCAGCCGTCTGCTGCCTGAGAAGTACAGGGTGTGTAAGTTGAAATATTTTCTATGTCAAGAGAAGGGAGCACTTGCTCTGTTATGGAATGTCTCATTGAATCTCTATGAAAGTTTTCATAATGCATCAAAGCATTGCAGAAAGTAATTTTCAGTCTTCAAAAAAAAAGAAGAAACAAGGCTCTTTCACTCTGGGTAATAAATGCGTTCAGCTCCTTGTGGCAATTAGGCAGCCCCACCCTTGTAACTGAGTTAGTGCGCAAGCCCCTTCGCAGAACTTCTCAGGATTCCCGAGCTGCGGCGCCGCTGACAGCCGTGCTCCTGGGGGAGGTGGGAGGCAAGTGGGAGTTGATTTGGAAGGCACTGCTTCTCTCAGGATTTTTCCCACAATAGAATAAATCAGCTAAGATATCAAGAATGTGTATTCAAAAGAGCTAGACTAGAATCAAGACTCAGGCAAGATAAGTCAGTGAGAAATGGCCCAAAATCAGAACCCAGAGCCAGGAGCCCTGATTCTTAGAGGGATTTCAAATATCTTTCTGGGGCTTAGATTTTAAAAATCTGTTAATAAATATTTGTAAAATGAATGAATTAATGGATAAGTGTAACGTGAAGATTGTGATACCTGCGCCACTTCATAAGAGTTTTAAGCAAAGTAATTAATTACATTTGAAAAGATAAAGTGCTTCAAGACATTTGCATTCTGATTTTTAAGTCAGTGGTGATAAATATCTCTTTAAGGGTTTCAGAGTCTGAGAATACACAGATTCTTTTATCATCCAAATTAGTCCTTGACCAGGATAAAAGAAATAATAACTTAAAGAGCAGGTGTTATATTACACTTCTATTAGATAATTAGCTGGCTAGGATCCAAATATGTAGCCCCCTATGGACAAGACTCAAAAAAAAAAATTGCAAGTTGTAAACAACAGAAGGTCTTCAATAACAGGGAAATAATAACAATCCTAATCCCTCATATTAATCTACTCAACATATATAATATGTCTTACATTCTAACATTTGATTATGTACACCTGAAAGGCACCATTTATTAAAATAATGGTGTTGGCTAATGCTATCAAGGCAACATGATAGTGGGCAAAACATATACTTCAAAACAAAAGAGGCCTAACTTATATCAGCTGTATGACCTTAGACTAAGTATTTTAAAAGCCCGAGTCACGATTTCCCGTTGCTGGCGAACTGGATCTAGCCTTTCATACCCAACATTCTAGGTGTCATAAATAAATGAAATTTAACATACACGTAGCATCTGCCACTGGGAAGACCCTCAGAAATGTCTGTGTTCCTGTCCCCAGTGTACTTCGTAGAGTAGGGCCTTTCCGAATCAGGTGCCATGATAATACTCAAAGAGGACACTCATATTTTCTGGAAACTCAACTTGCAAAGGAAAGCTTTACCAAGGTCTTCTAACTTTATTCCACTTCCGATACTTCTTCCTTGATAAATTTTCCTGAAGGCTTGGACCTCATAGAGCACTAATCTAAATCCTTTGAGACTTTCTCCCTAAGGGGTGCATGTGTGTGTGCTTGCGTGCGTTTGTGTGTGTGTGTGAGGTTGAACCTCAAACTAGTAGTATATATGTTCCATTTCTTATGACACTATAGATGTTCACCCGCTATGTCACCTCCCGGCTCTTTTCCCCAGCCCACATCCCCTTACCCTCCTTCATTACCCCTTTACACTCTGCCAGGTGTGTCCTCCCTGGGTAAGACCCTCCGATGAAAAAAAACTAAATATATACAATGAGAATTAAAACATAAAACAAGCTGCTGCTTCTCTTTCATACTCAAGCATGTTCACCTTTGGGGAGGATTTCCTACACCCTGTCAATCCTCACCCCACCAGTTGTCTCGCTTCTTTGTGCCACCAGTTTTATAACATTTGGCACATGTAATAGACTATTATTTTTTACACGCCCATTCTCCTCTTCCACTGGGAGATCCTGGGCCGTAGGGCCCACAGGCACTGCACAAATGCTACACTGCATGTGAATGAATGAACTGATGTATTTTTCTCTACCGATGTATGTTTCACTACCTAGTAGGAAGGGGCGTGGGTGGGATACTGTGAGGAGCACCCTGCAGACTAGTGTGGAGAGGACCGGAGTCACCCATGTGCTATGTGCCCTGTCCTTGTGCTGCCTCATCTGCGCCCTGCAACCCCCTGTCCATGTCTGTCTCCGCCCTGTGAACTCTGATTACAAAGAAGGAACCTGACTCCTTTACAACATCACCTTTGCCTGTGTGCTGGGTCCTGCCAACGTTTTCAAAGTGTTTCTGTGTCGATCATCTCACTGGATTTACAAAGGGATTATAGGATCTTGGGAAGAAAGAACCACATTTTTTTCTTTATGGTATGTTTCCCTTGGCCAGCAAGAGTGACAGGTGAGAGAAGGAGAGCCAACCCGCAGTCTCTAGAAATGACACCTTGCTTTTTGGCGATGCCAACAGTCTGTAGTGGGCCTATTTATGTTTGCTTCCCACGGTTCCTTCGAAATCGACGAGTGAAAAATATGTGTTGAAAACCTGCATGAGAGGTGGGTTAATGGTGGCTGGGATCTATGCCTCTTACGTCTTATTTAATTGTTTTCCTTTCTACTCCTTATCTTTTTCCTCCTCCTCCCTGGGTTTGATCACCATCATCATCAGCACTGTCTTGGCTTTGTCTGTGCTCTTCCTTTCATCCCTCTTCTATTTGGCTAATTCTTACCCACCCTCCTGGCCCCAGTGTCCCCGCTTGCCTTCCTCACAGCCCCTCTCTGTGCTCCTGTAGCTTTCCACCCCTGTGGCCCTTAATGCTAGCACTGCCCATTCACTTGGCTAAGTGGCTGATTCTTCACCTAACTCAATGGCAGGTATTATATGTTAGATATATTTTTATATAAAATATATAAAGTACTTAGAGTACTGCCTACAGGCAGTAAAACTCAATAACTATTAGGAGTTATTGTTGTTGGTAACTCCCCTCCCACTGTTATATCCCCTGGCGCCTAGGAGGTACAAAGTGAATGCTTATTTTATTGAATTGGAAGATAAGGACAACAAAAACACCCTTCACAGAAACCTAATTACATCTTGCCTTATGCTAGTTTGATTTCAGTGCCAGTACTGGACTCATGGTGTGGCAGAGGGGGAAAGCCAGAGAGCACATTGGGAGGAGCAGGCCACAGCCAGCTAGGATATTTGAGTGCAGACACATTGTCAGCAGACCACAGTTCCCCTTCTAAGGGGCCCTGAGGTAAATCTTGCCTCACAAAATAGATGAGTCAAGGGGATGTGGCGTGTCTGCTCAACTGTACACACAGTCCAAGGCACAGCTTCAACTCAGTTTCAACCTTGCCACCTCTTCAAAGATCCTTCATATCTCCAGCACATGTTACTCTGGGTGATTGACTGTTTGCTCTTCCAGTTGGATGGGCTTGGGCACCCCACAAGTTGGAACTGACATTGTCCCAGGAATAAACACCCCCTGAGGAGCTAGTGTCCAGCTGCGTGATGCTTATCTACAACTTCTCTTGAGCAACTGAGGCACAAGACCAAATTGGTCTTGCCAGTCTTTTGAGAATCCTCTCCAACTTGACCTATAAAAGGAGAGAGTAGCAGGGGAGTGGGTCCCACTGCCAGATCACAGTCTCACACTGTACCCAGCCAATTTGGCCACTGGACACCGTTCTGTGACAGAGGAGAGAATGGGAGACTAGTCTTGCTAGTAAATTTCTGTTTGTAAATTTCCCTAATAAAGTCTGCTTTTGCATGACACTGAGATGGCTGCCTTTACCTTCTGCCCGCGTCAACGACTCCCTGACTCCCTTTAATTTCCTCAATAAGCATATGAGATTAGTGTCATCAGCCCTTTTTAGCAGTTGAGGAATCTGGAGCTCAACTGATTTAGGTAACGCTCAAGGACTGAGAGCAAGTGGAGAAGCAAGTATTCGAGGCCAAGCTTGTCTGACACCAAAACCTTTGTGCCTTGGCTACCTGTCTTGTGTGCAGCTACCCCTGCCCATGAGGGGTATTGCTAGAGGAAAGAATCCTGCTCACAGCTCCTTGCCAGCCCAGATACATAAATTCTGGTAGTCCCTCTGAGCCTGCACTTAAAAAGGAAGTGAAACATCAGTAGCCCAACTTGATTATGATCCTTTGGACAGCAAATAATATCCCTTTCTTCTAAGTAATTGCCATTGTACAGGTGAGGCTTTT